TGTTTATTTTGATTCCAGGATTCTGTGATGGTTCTGAATGATATTGGAAAGGTTAAATCAAGCATAATGGCAACTAATGGTATTATGCACATCATTGATACTGTACTAACACCAGACATACCTGAGGCCCAGGTATGTGAAACTACAAAATTATAATTCAACATACAAAATGGAGGATTTTCAATGTTAAATTCTTTTGTGTGAAAAAATTAATGGAAATTAAATAGAATTAATTGTTGAGTCGCACTGCATAAACTGGTATGCAATCACTTTTCTGACTCCCTAAATAATATTTTTCAGAATTCAACACTCAAAGATTGTTTATTTTGGAATAATTACACAACACTGGTTGATATGATGATGTCGGCGGACATGTTTGATATGTTGGACGATCCAGTTTACAAACCGTTTACCATATTTGCACCCAGTAACCAAGCTTTCAGTAACTTAGCATCTGACAAGAAACAAGAACTTGAAAACAATGTCGACGTACTACAAGAATATTTACAATATCACATAGTTACAGATGAAAAGGTTAATATAAATGACATTGTAAATGTGATATCTTATTTAATAGTAATTCATGTATTTAACCTGAAACATTTGTCTGTATTATGAAAAATTTAAGAAAGTATATGAGCTTGACCTCTACAGTACCTCTATTGAAAATACTGTATACCAGTTTGAGCCCCTATGACAATTGTAAGTATTGTGTTTCAGCCTGGAACTACCATGTAGAAGCTTCACCCCATACATACCACAGTATATTCCATGAATACTAAACCTGGAAAAAACCGATAAACTTACCTCCAAGTCTATAGCTCACACTTGCTTTCTGCAGTATGTGTGTGTTTTCTTTTTTTTTTTCTTCATTTTTTGCTGTGTTTTTATGTCTCTTATGAATCAAGTTGTGATTTTGTTTTTATTCAACTATAAAATCAGCTTTATCTGCAATTACATCATATTTTTAAAATCTTTGTTGTGAATATGTCTATTTAAAGTTGATTTATTTCAAAATTAATTTGTCCATATTAATTTTCTTTTAGATTAATTTTTCTGAAATGGTTTTAAGCACTGGGGACTTGACATTACTGTCACTCCAAGGATCTACACTGTTTGCAGGATGTGCAAAGGATATTGTAAGTCAAAATG